AATTTATCCTTATGTTATTAAGGGCAAATAATAAGATGTAATCATTTTCATTTTCCTTTACATTACTAATCTTTGTTACTACGTAATCTTGTATGTAAGATAATATAGTATTTTAGTTGAATGAATGATAGGTTTTACGTATTATTTTATAAATTTGGTGATATTAAATTCTCACGCGAAGCGCGGGTAATTTTACTTGTAAATAATAATATTCAAAAGTCAATTCTCTAACTTAAGAAGAGTTTCAAGTTAAGACAACCACTAGGAATGGGGTTAAGGTATTATAATCTTATTTGTAACATCTTGCAACTAGAAAGAACTAGAAAGAAGTTAAAATCTAGAAATAGTCATTTTTGGAAAGTACAAGGAAATCTGCAAAATTTTAAGTTAAAGTGAGTTTTTGGTCAACTTCAAACGACCATAACTCCTAGCTCAGGAAGAGTTAGGTGTAGTTCCATATATGGATGGAAAGCTCTTGGAATGATCTTTCCAACATTTCCAAGTTTGTGTGATTCTAAGTTCGGATGAGTGAGTTATTCCCTTTGGAAGTTGGGCTACTGGATTAAGGAAATGTCCAATCCAGAATTTTAAGGGGTACTTTAGTCTTTTCATTGCCCTATTATTTTAATCCATTTTAGGAGTTTAATATGGGTTAAATCAGATTTTATTCAATTTGACAATTTGGGTTTTCACGCTAGTGCTAAGTAGAAAGGAGCAGAAGAAGCAAGAACATTCAAGATCGTCGAAGTTTGGCTTGTGGAATTCGTCGGGGGTGATCGCTACAAGGTATGTGAGATCACATAGCGTCGGGTTAGTTCACCCACGTGCCAAGCATATTTAATTCAGTGATTTCGTTCTAAAAGAGTTAGAATTTGATGTTCTTGAGTTATGTTCTTGAATTGTTTTCATTCTTGAACTTACATGGGATTGATGGGTTTTCTTGATACGTTTTAGCTATTGTTAGGAGTTATTCCGAGTTAGATTATAGTGTACATAAGTTGGGTATCTGAATCTAAGAAAGTATTGAGAAAAGGAATCGATTTAAAACGATTTAGGATTAGAAAATAAGTTGAAAAACTCGTCAGACGTACCTAGGAAGGGCCAGGCCCGTCGCGCCCCCATAGCGCCAGGAGGCTGGAGCGACGCGCTTGCAGTGCGCCCAAAACGAGCCCCAGTAAATTGGGGCCTGGTACGGCGCGCTAGGGACGCGTCTGAATCGGCGTTTTTCACCTAGCTTTTGTCATTTAAGTCCATTTAAAGTTTATTAACACTTTCCATTGATCCTAACTACTCTAAATGACTTCTAAACACCTAGAAATCATCCATAAACATGAATCATAACTTGAATCCATAAATCCAAAGTCAATGAAAGTCAAGAGCCAAGTCTACGAAGTTCTTTCAAAAGTCTTTTCAAGAAGTCTTTTGCAAAATGTTTTTAACTTTGTTTTAAGACTTAATTTTTGAAGTTGAGTAAAGAGTAAGAGCAAAGTTCATTTTCTTTTAAAATGATATATGAGAACTAAGTATTTCAAGAGTAAATGTTTCCACATTTAAGATGGGAGGAAACTGAGATTTCCAAAAGAGTTTTGAACACCCAAAAGGGAACATTGATTTCAAGAGAGCTTTTTAATCTAAGTTTGAGCAATTATCTCAAACCAGGAAGAAGTTGTTTTCAAAACATATGAGCTAAGTATATTTTGGGAGTAGTATTGAGCACCGATATGGGGGACGCGAGTTATATTAACTCAAGCCCCCATAAACCATGTAGCCATCATGGGCAGAAAAAGGATCATACTTTTTAGATGATTCCTTAGTGTGAACACCTAAGTTTTGACCAAAACATAAAAATTTTACACCCAATTTTAATACTTAAATATTATTATTTCAGTAGGGTTTATATTTAAAATAAATTGAAAATTACAACAAATTATAAGCTCACTTTATGTTTTAAAGTTTAATAAAGAAAGCTTTTGAATTTAACGTATTTTGTTTTAATCTTTCAAATTTTATTTAGTCTAAAAATAATAATAGTCGTATATATCATGGAAAAGTAGAAAAAATAATAATAATAAAAGATAAAAAGAAGAGTCCTAAAAATTTTCAAAATTACCTTACCTTTATCCTAATTACCCTCAACTTCCTTAACTTATTTGCTAAAAAATCTCCTTCCATTTAGTTTTATTTTTTTTTTATTCTATTTTTTTGTTTGTTTTGTTCTTGCACGATCTTTTACACGTTTGTTTTTATTATTATTATTATTATTATTATTTCTTTCTTTCTTTTCTCTTCGTTCTTTCTTTCTTTCTTTTTTATTTTTTTTGTTAAATATCATATTACTATTTTTCTTCCTTTATCTCAACCCTAAAATTCTCAACTAAAATTTAAATTAAATTATATTCCCACTCCATCACGTTCCTTTTAATTAGCACAAGACTCACACCCAAAACAATTATAAAAACACACGCTCAGTAAAGAAAAAAGACAGACATATACAGAGATACACAAAAACACAGAGAAAAAAAAAAGATAACAAAAAGTGAGTTTTATTTTGAAAATTAAGTCAACGTTCAAGGTTTCACTCAAGGTTTCGGATTCATGGCTCTTTAAAGTTAATATTAGCTATTAACTTTGGAAATCAGTAGATCGTAGCAGTTGTTTTTGTGGTATTAATTTTCGCACCGAGGTAACTCTAAATTCTCGCATGATTTAAATAGAATACTTGTATGAAAACTCGATTCCAATAATATGAAGTTTTTTGAATCGCATATTATTATTATGTTTAAATCCAATACATCTTGATTTTCCACCTGTCCAGCAAAAGCAGAGAAAGTTTAAGACAACATGAGCGATAAAATTAAAGAGGAAATCATGAAGCAACTGACTGCAAATGTGATCAGAGTTGTCCAATACACTACCTGGTTGGCTAATGTTGTGCCAGTGCCAAAGAAAGATGGAAAGATCAGAGTTTGTGTTGATTACAGAGATTTAAACAAAGCAAGTCCAAAGGACAATTTTCCATTACCCAACATTCACATCCTGGTTGATAATTGTGCCAAACACGAGATTCAATCTTTTGTGGACTGTTACGCCGGATATCACCAAATTCTCATGGATGAAGAAGATGCAGAAAAAACTGCTTTCACCACCCCATGGGGTACATATTGTTATAGAGTCATGCCATTCGGTCTGAAGAATGGGAGCAACCTACATGAGAGCTATGACTACCATATTCCATGACATGATGCATAAAGAAGTTGAGGTATATGTCGATGATGTCATCATTAAATCTAGAACGCAAGCGACCATGTGCGTGATCTAAGAAAATTCTTCGAAAGATTGAGAAAGTACAACCTCAAGCTTAATCCAGCTAAATGTGCATTTGGAGTGCCATCTGGCAAACTTTTGGGTTTTATAGTTAGTCGAAGAGGCATTGAATTGGACCCCTCTAAGATAAAGTCCATTCGAGAATTGCCACCTCCAAAAACCAAAACTGAAGTCATGAGTTTTCTGGGAAGGTTAAACTATATCAGCAGGTTCATTGCTCAACTCACCGCCACATGTGAGCCGATATTCAAGTTGTTGAAAAAGGACGCTGCTATCAAATGGACAAGTGAGTGTCAGGAGGCTTTTGACAAAATTAAGGAATATTTAGCAAACCCTCCGGTATTGGTCCCACCAGAACCTGTAGGCCGTTATTCTTATATCTTTCAGTGATGGATAATTCATTTGGTTGCGTTTTAGGACAACATGACATTACGGGAAAAAAGGAACAAGCCATTTATTATTTGAGCAAAAAGTTCACAAGCTATGAGGCAAAGTACACTCTGTTAGAAAAGACTTGTTGCGCTTTGACTTGGGTTGCCCAAAAATTGAAACACTATCTTTTGTCCTACACGACCTATCTTATATCTCGAATGGATCCTTTGAAATATATTTTTCAAAAATCCATGCCAACAGGTAGGTTGGCAAAATGGCAGATTTTGCTTACGGAATTTGATATTATTTATGTCACTCGCACCGCCATGAAAGCACAAGCGTTGGCCGATCATTTAGCAGAGAATCCGGTCGATGACGAATACGAGCCCCTAAGGACATACTTCCCTGATGAAAAATCAACTCTATTGAGGAAGAAATTCCTAATGATGGTCACGTGTGGAAATTATATTTTGATGGGGCTGTCAACAAAAATGGAGTAGGAATTGGGGCAGTTCTTATCTCACCAAACGAATGTCATTATCCTGCCACAGCACGACTTCGATTCTTTTCTACCAACAACACAACAGAATACGAAGCTTGCATCATGGGTTTGAATATGGCAATAAATCTGGATGTGCAGGAGTTGGTGGTTTTAGGGGATTCCGATTTGCTCATTCGACAAGCTCGAGGCGAATGGGAGACTCGAGACATTAAACTCATGCCGTACAAACAATGTTTAGAAAACCTCATCAAAAGATTCAAGTCCATTGAATTCAGGTACATTCCCAGGTTTCACAATGAGTTAGCTGATGCTTTGGCCACCCTAGCCTCGATGCTTCCATACCCGGGTAATACCTATATTGACCCGTTGGAAATCCAAGTTAGGGATCAACATGGTTATTGCAATATAATTGAAGTAGAGCCAGACGGTGAGCCCTGGTATCACGACATTAAACGGTTTTTAAAAGCTAAAGAATATCCAATACATGCTGATAGAGATAAAAAAAGAACTATTAGGCGACTCGCCAATGGGTTCTTCTTGAGTGGCGATATCTTATATAAAAGGACTCCAGATTTGAATCTATTGCGATGTGTGAATATTCAAGAAGCAGAAACAATTATGAATGAGGTGCATTCAGGGGTTTGTGGCCCTCACATGAATGGTTATGTTCTAGCAAAAAAGATTATCCGGGCAGGGTACTATTGGTTGACCATGGAGCGAGATTGCTTCGATTTGTACGCAGGTGCCATCAGTGCCAAATTCATAGCGACTTGATTCACTCACCCCCTTTAGAGTTCACCCTATGTCTGCTCCGTGGCCTTTTGTGGCTTGGGGAATGGACGTTATTGGGCCGATTGAGCCGAAAGCATCTAATGGGCATCGGTTTATTTTAGTTGCCATCGACTACTTTACCAAATGGGTGGAAGCTGTCACATTCAAATCAGTCACCAAGAAAGCAGTGGTGGACTTTGTTCATTCAAACATCATATGTCGTTTCGGCATACCAAAAATCATTATTACAGACAATGCAGCGAATCTCAACAGCCACCTGATGAAGGAAGTTTGTGAGCAATTTAAAATTGTTCATCGTCATTCAACCCCTTATCGACCCAAAGCAAATGGGGCTGTTGAAGCGGCAAATAAAAACATCAAGAAGATTCTTAGGAGAATGGTGCAAGGATCTAGACAGTGGCATGAAAAACTACCATTTGCTCTCTTGGGATACCACACGACTATTCGTACGTCAGTCGGTGCAACTCCTTACTTATTGGTTTACGGAACTGAGGCTGTCATACCCGCAGAAGTTGAAATCCCTTCTCTTCGAATCATTGTCGAAGCAGAAATTGAGGACACGGAATGGGTTAAATCAAGGTTAGAACAATTAGCACTGATAGACGAAAAACGGTTGACATCAATTTGCTTTGGTCAATTATATCAGCAGAGGATGGCTCGAGCTTATAACAAGAAGGTACGCCCAAGAAATTTTGAAGTCGGTCAACTTGTTGTGAAACGCATCCTTCCCCATCAAGACGAGGCCAAAGGAAAGTTTGCCCCAAATTGGCAAGGCCCTTATGTTATTAAACAAGTGCTATCAAAAGGAGCTTTGCAACTGGCAGTATGGAGGAAAAGGCGATCGACACAATTGTTAACGCAGATTCGATCAAAAGATACTACGTTTAACACTTTTGTTATGACACTCTCATGATTGACATTCTCAAGATGAGAGGATAAAAATGTATCCTCCTTTATTTCAAACACCACTTGTCTGGTGCAAAAAAAAAGTTTCATTGAACTACGTTCGACCTGATTCCTAAGAGGATACGTAGGCAGCCCTTCATTGGGGTTCGGTCTAATCACTAATAAAACAATAATTCTTCAATTCTCCAAGGGCTGAGACATGACATTGTGACCTACGGTGTGTTACAACAAAAAATAAAAAAATAAAAAAATGAGAGAGTCTTATGAGTGAAAACCCTCACGGGCACCATAAGACGATAGTAAGTTGAGAGAAAGAGATAAGAATGTCTTATTGGTGGAAAACCATGAAGGGCACCATTGATCAAATGATGACATTCCGTCTTGGCATGAGCACACAATCAAGATAGAAGTCAGGCTATAGACTGAAAGGTACAACATTGTTTCAAGATTCGGACAACTTAGAAGGATCAAACGTTCAGTCCAAATGCATGTCATGATTCATTAAGTGGTCACGTACTTTCAGATAAGATTCTTTTCATTCCTTTTAAACATACTTATTATTTCCTCTTCTAAAGACATAACTTTTCTTTCATAACCCTTTCATTTGTGTCATTTGTACTTGTGTTCGGTATTCTTTGAGTCTCATTCAGCATAAACTCGCGTCAAGTGAGAAAATCAAATTAAAGTAGCGAAATTGACTACGGTATTTCCAGTTGAATGTTGGGGGCATGCACAACATTGACTAGGGCTGTGAACCAATCGAGAAAAAAAAATATCAAAAAATTCGATACCGTGTGAAAATCGATAAAGCAAGAAAGTTGCTTTGGAAAGGATGAACCCCACAACGTGCACAAAATGGAAATGGTCAAAATGTTCATAAGAAGTGTTTCAAGGAAGATAAGGACGTCTCTAAAGCATCTTCAAGCTATTCGCGCAATCGTCAATATGATGATTCTTTCAACCAACACAGATTCAAAGTCAAACTCCACAAGATATTCGAAGTCACAAACCAACCACCATTTAGAAAAACTAACAAAATATTCTTTGTTTAAAATAGGTACAAAGAAAAATCGTGCAAGTAATTCGCGAGAGTCAAACGCCACGGTAAGTTCTTGAATCCCTGTCTCTCCTACAATATGCACCATAATAATAATAATAACAATAAAAAGATTTTTTTCTTAATAAAATCTGGGGCATTTTATTTTATTTTTATTTTTGTTTGTTTCTTTTATGTTTGGAAAATGTACAAAAATAAAAATAAAATAAAATAAATGATCTTAAATATAATAATAATAATAATAATAATAATATAGTAAAAAAATAAAAAATATACATATAATCCCTATTTTATTTTTTCATGTCTTCACAGGGTACAATAATCCCTGGTTGCATATAGGCACAATAACCCTATTTTATTTTTCATGTCTTCACAGGGCACAATAACCCTGGTTGCATATAGGGCACAATAACCCCTATTTTATTTTTCATGTCTTCACAGGGCACAATAACCCTGGTTGCATATAGGGCACAATAACCCTATTTTATTTTCATGTCTTCACAGGGCACAATAACCCTGGTTGCATATGGCACAATAATCCCTATTTTATTTTTCATGTCTTCACAGGGCACAATAACCCTGGTTGCATATAGGGCACAATAACCCTATTTTATTTTTCATGTCTTCACAGGGACAAATAACCCCTGGTTGCATATAGGGCACAATAACCCTATTTTATTTTTCATGTCTTCACAGGGCACAATAACCCCTGGTTGCATATAGGGCACAATAACCCTATTTTATTTTTTCATGTCTTCACAGGGCACAATAACCCCTGGTTGCATATAGGGCACAATAACCCTATTTTATTTTTCATGTCTTCACAGGGCACAATAACCCTGGTTGCATATAGGGCACAATAACCCCTATTTTATTTTTCATGTCTTCACAGGGCACAATAACCCTGGTTGCATATAGGGCACAATAACCCCTGTTTTATTTTTTTCATGTCTTCTTCACAGGGTACAATAATCCCTGGTTGAATATAGGCACAATAACCCCTATTTTATTTTTTTCATCTCTTCACAGGGCACAATAACCCCTGGTTGCATATAGGGCACAATAACCCCTATTTTATTTTCATCTTCACAGGGCACAATAACCCCTGGTTGCATATAGGGCACAATAAACCCCTATTTTATTTTTCATGTCTTCACAGGGCACAATAACCCCTGGGCACAAAATACCCCTATTATTTTTTTCTTTCACAGGGCAGAATAACCTCTAGTTGCATATAGGGCACAATAAAACCTCTATTTTATCTTCATGTCTTCACAAGACACAATAACCCCTAGTTGCATATAGGGCACAATAACCCTTATTTTATTTTTCATGTCTTCACATGACACAATAATCCCTGGTTGCATATAGGGCACAATAACCCCTATTTTATTTTTTTTATGTCTTCACAGGGTACAATAACCCCTGGTTGCATATAGGGAACAATAACTCCTATTTTATTTTTTTTCATGACTTCACAGGGCACAATAACCCCTGGTGCATATAGGGCACAATAGCCCCTATCTTATTTTTTTTCATGTCTTTACAGGGCTCAATAATCCCTGGTTGCGTATAGGCCACAATAACCCTTATCTTTTTTTTATGACTTCACAGGGCGTAATAACCTCCGGTTATATTGGGCACAAATATCCCTTTATTTTATTTTATAAAAGTATATTATTATTATGCCTAGTACAAACTTTTATAGCTTTCATCAATAACTCACAAAATTTTCCTAGTGCATACTGGGGCAGAAAAATTGTTTCGTTTGTTTGTTTTGTTTTATGGCGTGCAGGGTTCTACATTGTATACCAATTTGAAGTCAAGAATAAAATCCTTGTTTTGATTAGAGAAACGAAGAATGCCAGATGTCATGACATTTAGAGTCGCTTTCAACCCATGTAACGACTCAACATATCATGAATCATCTTCTCAAGAAAACAAGCATTCAAAATATCATGCGGAAGAACGTCAACGACTCAAGTCAAATCATAAGTTTCAGATCTTAAATTCAAATATCAAGATCAAAGTTCGGAATCGATACCTACCCAAAAAGGGTGAAGCGATAACCGAAGATTCAAAATGAAGACTCAGTACTAGTGGAGTAGATATGATCTTGTATCTTTCCTTTCTATCCTATTGTATTTTTCCTTTTAATGTAACAGCTGGAGCTACGAACCGGAACCTCGACAAAACCTCACTCGACTACCTAAAATTATTCTCCCGTCCCTTCCTATATATGAACTACACCTGATTATTAACTCAGGGTAGATAGTTTGTCCAAAGTTAGGGCGCAATCAAACCTCTCTTCTTTTACTTATTTTCACATTTTTGGATAAATGTCTCGGTCAAAAAATTAGTCACAGTGTTCACGTCTTTGCATGAAAACCTTCATGTTTCCAAGCAAAGAGGGGCATACTGTGAACACCTAATTTTTGACCAAAACATAAAGATTTTACACCAATTTTAATACTTAAATATTATTATTTTAGTAGGGTATATTTAAAATAAATGAAAAATAAATAAATCTAAAATTACAACAAATATAAGCTCACTTTATGTTTAAAGTTTAATAAAGAAAGCTTTTGAATTTAACGTATTTTGTTTTAATCTTTCAACTTTTATCTAGTCTAAAAAAATAATAATAATCGTATATATCATGGAAAAGTAGAAAAAAAAAAGATAAAAAGAAGAGTCCTAAAAATTTCAAATTACCATACCCTTTTTCATAATTATCCCCAACTTCCTTAACTTATTTCCTAAAAATCCTCCTCCACATCTAGTTTAATTTTTTTTTATTATTATTATTTTTTCTCTCTTGCACGATCTTTTCTGAATTTTTTAACAATACACGTTTCCTACTTTTTTTGTGTTATTTGTTATTTATTTATTTATTATTATTATTTGTTGTTTTGTTAATATATATATTTTCTTCCTTTATCTCAACCCTAAAATTCTCAACTAAATTTTAAATTAAATCTTATTCCCACTCCATCACATTCTTTTTAATTAGCACCAGACTCACACCCAAAGCTATTATAAAAACACACGTTCAGAAAAAGAAAAAGAGACAGACACACAGATACACAGAAGGAACGAGAGAGAAAAAAAACACAGAGAGAAAAAGATAACAAAAGTGAGTTTTTATTTTGAGAATTAAGTCAACGTTCGAGGTTTCACTCAAGATTTTGGATTCGTGGCTCTTTAAAGTTAATATTAGCTATTAACTTTGGAAATCAGTAGATCGTAGCAGTTGTTTTTGTGGTATCAATTTTCGCAGCGAGGTAACTCTAAATTCTCGCATGATTTAAATAGAATACTTGTACGAAAACTTGATTCCAATAATATGAAGTTTTTGAATCGCATGTTATTATTATGTAATATCAATATGTGATGCATGTTGTGATTATTTTTGAGAATTTACGAACGCTTAGGAAAACGGAACCGAAGACGTTTCTTGTTTAAAAAATAATATAAAAATAAATATAAATGATGTACCATACATTTTTTATTATTATTGTCTTATACTCTTTAGATGCAATTAATATTGAAATTGGTTTCGTGATATTTAATTTTGAATAGTTAGTGTTTCTTGGAGCTTAGTTTTCACTTAAGAAAATTTTGTTGAAATTATTTGTATACTTGTTAGATTAGGATATAAACTGAAGTTTAATTGATCAGTGATTTAGAAAATCTATGTGGGTGTTTTAGTTTTTTTTATATTATTTTGAAAAAAATAGTTTGCCTTTAGAATAAGCATTAAGATGATTATCGATTTAATTCAAATTATTAAGAGGATATATGAATATTATTTAGAGATTTATGGTAAAAAATAAAATAATGAATAATTAGGAAAACTAAATAAAATAAAATGAGGCGAGAAAGCATAAAAAAAAAGAATAAACGTGATTAGAAAAGAATAATAAAAAAAATGATAAAGAAAGAAGAGA